TGCCAAGCATGCCAAATTCATACCCAACTAAATGCTTTCTAGAAGAGAAGGCAAACATACCCAGTGTTCCTTTCTCCCACATACTAAACTCGTATCTGCTTAAGCTCTCGTGCTGGATTGCTATGTCAGTTATCAGTTTCCCTACTTCTCAACGTATGTTAAAATGATCTAACTGGGGAAAAAAAAAGAAAAGTAATCGGAGTCAGTTACAAGCTTTAATATTGTTTCCAAACACAGTTTGTTTGAGGTTGTTGTTGTTACGAAGTTTAATAGTGCCATGTGGTTTATCTGTAAGAAAAATCAAAGGAAGGTTTTCTAATAGCATTAGAGCTTTCTTTTTGTTCAGCTGTGCTTCTTAAATTCTAGTTCAGCCCTACAGAAAGGTAGATTGCTTGTCCAATATATCTGTGTATACTACATTATTACAAACTATTTTACAGGAACTGTTTGAGGAGGGAGTGGGAGCGGACAAGAATAAAAGTAGTAATACAAAAATGAGAACTTCAGTAGTTGAACAGTAGCAACATTAGCAAAGTCTCCTGTTACTACAATATTAAAGGAATATGAAGGAAGGGATTAAAATGTTTCTTCTCACATATAAGCAGATACATAAATAGTAAATAAATGTAGATACATATGTTTGTGGACTGATGGAATCGCCGATCAGTCATCGCATGAAATTCAGAAGAACTTACTGTTACGACATTTGTAGCTACCACTGTATAATGTAATGAGTTTCTATTGAAAGCACTGATAAAAACAGTTTTTACATATACAATCTTTCTGTTCTCTTTCAGGTCTTGAATCATCACGTCCAAATTTAATTCTTGGATTGGTTATCTGCCAGAAAGGGAAACGTCTCGCTACTGGCATGGAAACAGACAAAATAGAGGAAAAGCGAAGTCGGATTCAGTTGCAAGAGGAAGCAGAACCATCGCAGTTCTTGAAGGGGCCAGTAGCTTCTTTTCAAGAAAAGAAAACTCCAAAATACACACTTTATTCTGGAGACTCAGCTGTAAGTACAACACCACCTGGGTCTCCTCCGCCGCCTCCACCCCCGCTTCCCGTTCCAGAAAGCTCAGCAGTTACTCCTTCAGTATTAAAAATACTGTCCTCGATTAAAAGTGGAACCACAACTACTGCACCACCTCCGATTTCAACCACTGCTTCTCCAAGTGTTACTGCTACGCATTCTTCATCCTCAAAAACTGCCACGCCTCTCGAACACATCCTGCAGACACTTTTTGGAAAAAAGAAATCTTTTGAACCTGTTGCTAAGGATTCTGAAACTGCCCAGTCTTCAAATCAGAAAGCTCAGGCAGCTGCTGAAGGAGGTATGGCAGCTGTTCCTTTGTTAGATCCCATTGTACAGCAGTTTGGACAGATGTCGAAAGACAAAGCTATAGAAGAGGAGGAAGATGACAGACCGTATGATCCCGAGGAAGAATATGATCCAGAGAAAGCTTTTGAAATGCAGACAGGTGAAAGTGAAAAACTTTATAATGTGGAAAAGCCGAGTAATACAGCAGTACTAGAGGATGAGGCCTATGATCCAGAAGATGAAACTATCTTGGAAGAAGCAAAAGTTACTGTTGATGATTTGCCTAACAAAATGTATACGGATGCTAAAAGCAGTGCTACAGAAACATCTGCTCCATACGTACCTGACTTATCTGCGTCCTCATCCTTAGTGGAACAGCAAAAAATGTTGGAAGAATTAAATAAGCAAATAGAAGAACAGAAAAGGCAGCTAGAGGAGCAAGAAGAAGCCCTCAGACAACAAAGAGCAGCTGTTGGTGTTTCAATGGCTCATTTTTCAGTGTCTGATGCTTTAATGTCACCACCACCAAAATCTTCCTTAATAAAGACTGAATTATTCCAACAGGGCCAGCAAGCTGTACAAAAAGTAGATTTACCTTCATCTGCAAATCAACAAGCACAAGTTTTAAACCAGGCCTCTGACCCACGGCAGACTAGAGATCCTCGACAAGCCAGAAGAATGGCAACAGAAATAAATGACAGTACTGATGCTCGAATAAAGCCGCAGGCAGTACAGAATGAAACACCCGCAAGAGAAATTCTTCCAGCAAGTTTTCCAAGTGCTTTGTCAGCTTCACTTGGTAAGGAAGATAATACATTAATGTCTGCTCCTCAGCTTAGTTATACTGGTGATAACTGGGTTTCAAGTGAACAGGGTTGTACAGTGTCACAGAAAGAGGCATCTAGTAGCAAATTTGAAAACACTGCTCAAGTTAATTTGGAGAATGTAAGTCAAACAGTTCCTGGCGAGCCCTCTACATCCAAACCCTTACGCAAAGTGCTGCTTCCAACGCCTCCAACTACGTGTTTTCAGCCTAATTTCTCCGCATCAAATGACGGCCAGTCTTTGCAAGATATGCATCAAGTATCATGGTCAAATGAGCCAAAGGAAGCAATAGGAAGAGATTCTTTTTCAAATACAATGTTTACTTCTCAGGAAAATGCAGGTGGTCACTATGAACCAGAGAGAGGTCTGTCTTCACTGCAGTATGAAGAACAAAGAAACCCTCAGCCTCATCAATTTGTAGAACAAACTGAGTCTACATCAATTCAGGGTGAGGGTGGGCCTCTCCCACAGCACTTTGAAGAAAACAGACTTCCATTTTCTTTGTCTGGGCAGAAAGGAGGACCTCCACAATCGTCAATACACAATGCACCTGGAGGACCTCATGGACCTAACTTTAGAGGGCCGGCACCACAGTTCTCAGAAGAGCACGGTTCTCCAAATAGTGATGGGCAAAGAGGACCTGCCCCTGGGAGATATGGAGGTCAGAAGGGTCCCATCCCTTCCTTATTTTCTTCACAGCACGGATCTCCACTTTTTGGTGATAATAGGGGCCCTGCCCCATCTTATGGTGTTTCAAGAGGAATGTCACCATCTCAGTTTGAAGATCACATGGAACCTCACATGGAACAAAGGGAATTCTCAGATTCCCAATACAATGAGATGATCAGGCCTCCAGGACCATTTGAAGGATCTGATCAACCTCAGTTTATGGGAAACAGAGGACCTTTTCCTTTTGGAGGTCAAAGACGACCTCCACCAGCTCAGTTTAAGGGACAGAGAGGAGGCCCTCAGTTTGGAGGGCCAAGAGGTCCATCCCCTAGCCATTTTGGGGGACCAAGAGGGCCTCACACAAATCAATTTGAAGGGCAAAGAGGTCCAGCTCCAAATCATGGACCTGGCCCAAGAGGACTTTTGCCACAGCCATTTGAAGAACGGAGAGGGAGTCCCCCTCCCAGATTTGCCAACCAGAGAGGTCCACCACCACCTCAGTATGGAGGACCAAGAGGACCCTCACCTGCACTGTTTCCAGAGCAAAATGAACCTCCTTCTAGATTTCATTTCCAAGGTCAGTCACAACAAAGCATGAAGTCAACCCCAAGACCACTCCTAGACCTTCCAGGCCATCTATCAGCCCACAGAAAAGACATGTGGGAGGAGGCTGGACCATCTGCATCTCTTTCCAATGTTTCTGGACAAGGGCATGAGTCAGAAGGACAGTGGTCAGCACCTGACTTCCGAGAAGGCAAAAATATTGAATATAGAGGCCAGACATTTGAAGGGAGACAGAGAGAGAGATATGAGGGAGGAAATAAAGACAAGGGTTTAGATCAGCCAGAGCCTCAGCAAGCTGATAATCGACAAGGTAGACCCTTTGAGGAAAGACGACGGGATCGTGAACATGGCAGACCTTGGGAAAGAGACCGTGGCAGAAACTGGAACAGAGACAGGGACTGGGAGAGACACAGGGACAAGGAATGGGATAAAAACAGAGACAGAAACCAAAACAAAGATAGAGAGAAAGATTCCGAGCATGCTAAAGACTGGGAAAGAAGCAGAGACCGAGACAGAGCCAGAACCAGAGACAGAGAATCCTACAGAAGACGTGACAGGGAGAGATCAAGAAGCAGAGACAGAGATCGGGACAGAGATAAAGACAGGGACCGGGATCGAAGCAGGGAAAAAGAAAGGGATCGAGAGAGAGATCGGGATCGTGAAAGAGGGAAAGATCGGAAAGATCGGAGCAAAACCAGGGAAACTAGTAAAGAGGTGAAGCCAGAAACACCTAAGGAAAGCCAGAAACCATCAGAGGCAGAAGCTTCATCTTCCACTACTCAGTCATAGAAATGTGACTGCAATTGTATTTTCCATAAATAAGAAGATACTTTTACAACATAGCAAGGACCGAGTCAGTGTCTTCTGTATATACTGTATATTCTCACCTTTACAAAAGTGCTGTTGTAAATCTAGCCTTATAAAACGTACTGACAAATTAGTAATTTTTGAAGAACTGTGAATGAAAATACTCAAATATGTAAACAGCAAGAACATACTGGACTTTCACTTGCTGCATTTTGTGCATAACGTTTTTATTACAAAAATTCACAGCGTTACCTGTTCTGAAATTTTGTTTTTTTCTACTTGCATCTTTATCTTAAAATTTCCATTTACGGTACAGAAATGGGAAAAGTCTAAGAAGAGCATATTGCTTTTTAAAATTATAAAGTTATGTTTTCCAGTAACTTTAATTGTAATTTTATAAGAGAATTTAATCAAAATCCTAGGAGCCATACCTTTACATCTCATTTATGTGATATTTTGATGTCTACAGCACACGCTTTAAAAAAGGAGTCCAATATTGCTGTCTTTCTTTACAATGCAAAGATTGTGTGTTTAGGAAAAGGCTGCAGAAGAACAGTGTTATTATTTGACAGAGGATTTGGAAAAGGAATGTTAAAAGCTTAAAGTGCACTATTTTCCTTTCTCTATACAGTTATTTTGTGTTTTAAAATCCATCTGTTAAGTGTACAAGTGAGGAGTTTTAAATCCCACATATTTACAAACCCGTAATTAAAGAGCATATATGAGTAGCACCTTTATAACCAGCAAAACTTTTAAAAACATCAGAGATTTATTGGCAAAGAATCAAGACTACAAAAGAATGGGGATACCAAAGGAACGAAAAAGAATTTTATTGAACAGACCATTCTGTCTGTTCCTTTGAGCTGATTCACGTGGGGCATTTTGTGGGTTTTGTTTTCTTTTTGCAGAAAGCTGCCAGAGATTTAAGAAGTGTCACCATTTTCCTGTACTTTCCAGTCTAAAAGTGTTCTGCTTCTGAAAAAAAAAAAAAAAGACAACACAAAAATGTCACTGTTTTTGTCAGCCCCTGCTAATACTGGCACTGTATATAAGACTGTCCATTGAAAATGGTCTAAATGCATTAAGCTTGGAAAGAAGATTGGTAACACCTGATGTCATGATTCAAAGGGAAAGTTCTTACTGTGAAATACATTACACAGCTACTTTTCATGTATTCTTCAAGTACATAATTCTGAAGTATGAAATAAGAAAACCCTGCTAGTTTACAATTTGACTACATAAATTAATAGTTGCTTAAGTATTTTCATATTTTTATAAAATAGTTTTGAAAAAGGTAAAATTAGATTCCTACAAACATTTGCACCTTGAATTCTACATTACAAGTAGCGTCCATGTCATGTATCTCACCATAGGTTATACAGTTCATATTGGTGTGTCTTACAAGTCCTCACACGTCACGGGTTTGCTGGTTGGAATGATTGCAATATGAACCTGTAAAGAACACGTTAACATGCAGAGAGGTGTTATTAAATACAAACATCTACTATGGTGTAAGATTTTTTCTTAATGAGATGTTTCTAATTTAAAGACATACATAAAAGTATGCAAAAAGCAAGTGTGTTTGTTTAGGTTTACTTGATAGAAATTTCTGTAAATTGTATTTTATATGGCAAAATATAGCACTGTACATTAAGATATGGGAGTTCACAGGTTTTTGTTACTGTAAGTAGAATAAACATCTACAGTTAAATTTTGTCTGTTTCTGAAGTGTGTCTGTGTCCATCATTTCCTGGTACCTGATCTCTGGTACCTCTCAGCAAGCCCAGGGGAATCACCACAAGAGGCTGATGGGCCACAGGTTTCATTTCCACCCCAAAAGATGACATTTTGCAGGATGTCACCATTATTAATGGATATTTATGCGTAGCTGTTCCAAAAGGCGCACGAAAGTTTGTTCTTAGGATTTTTCTCTCACTGAGAGAATTTTTCTCGTGCCCTGATTTATTCCGAAGGTTTTGTTATCTGAATTAGGACAAAAGGCCCTCAATTGAAGGTCCTCTGAGCAGGGACCTCAAGGATCACGAATCCCCAACCCCCTGCCACACGCAGGACCACCAACCTCCACCTTTAATACCAGCCCAGGCTGCCCAGGGCCCCATCCAACCCGGCCTTGAACACCTCCAGGCACGGGGCATCCACAGCCTCTGTGGGCAGCTGTTCCTGCACCTCACCGCCCTCATAGTAAACTTTATGAACCTCCTGAAGGGAGACCGTATGAAGGATTTCGTACAGCACGGATCTATATGTTCTAGAATAGCACTTCTGCGCCTGTGAACAGGCTTGTTTCTGGAGCCTGTCACAACAGGTGTGCGTTCTCAGTACCGCAGCACACGGCCACGAGCGGAGCCGTGTCAGAAACCACCGCACAAACCGCCCCAAGCGTGAGGCGCTGCCGTGTAGCGAACGCTTCCGTTCGGGCGAGCGACGCCCGCAGCTCGGGCAGCGCGCAGCCGCCAGCACGGCGGGGCGGTTGGCGGGGAGCAGCGCGCATGCGCGAGGCGGGCGGTTGCGCGCGGCGGTTGGCGGCGCCGCGTGCCGCGCGTGCGGGTTTGGCCGCTGCCGTCCGACCTGTGAGCGATAGGGCGGGGCGGGGGGCGGCGGGCGGCGCTCCGCTTCCCTTCAGAGCGCGGGGGGTGAGGGACCGCCGCCCTCCGGCTGTGGGCAGCTCCGCGCTTCCCCGGGCTGCTGGCGCGGGGGCTCGGCTGAGGGAGCCGAGCGGAGCAGAGCAGGTGAAGGCCGTTTCGGCGGTGCGCGGGCGGGGAGGGCCGAGCCGTGTGCCGGGCGCTGCCCTGCGGCCGTCGGCCGTGACGGCGGCGGGTTCGGTGGTTGAGCGCGTGGGACGGACGCGGCTCCGTCAGGTAGGCGCGCCATGGCGGGGCCCGCCCCGCAGCACGGAGCGGACGCGTCCTTCGGCGAGCAGAGCTTCGGCTTCAGCGCCGCGGAGCTCAGCCTGGTGGAGATGACGGACATGGAGTACGGCCAGCTGCAGCACGCGCTGTACGCGCACGTGGAGCCGCGGGCCGCCGAAGGCGAGGCCGAAGCCGGGCCCGGCGCTGCCGTTTCCCCCGACGAGGGCTGCGCCTCCTGCGGCCCCGCCGGCCCGCCCGCCTTCCCCGGCCTCGGCCAGGCGGGAGCGACCGCCGACGGCGGCGGGCCCGGTTCGAACCCCTGCCTGGGCCGCGCGGACTTCCAGGAGCTCAGGATGATGTTGCTCGGTGAGGTGAACCCCCCCGCCGGCCAAGCAGACAAAACGCCCAAGGGCGGCTCTGAGGAAGGCTCGGGGCGCGGCTCGTTGAGGGCGAAACACGGTGAGAGCTTTGCTGGGGTGAGCAAAGGGAGCGTAGTGGTTGAGCACGTGGCGATGGCAGCCGAGCCCAGATCGAAATCTGCAGTCAGAGTTCGATTGGAGGACAGATTCAACAGCATCCAGACAGAAAACCCCAGATGCCAAGAACCCCAAGAATCTGGAGTGACTCTTAACAAGTGTGTTGTGCTTAATTTCAGTTTCTGTCGTTAAGCTATGTATTTTCATAGAGTTCGAACTGCTTTTCTGACGTAAGCCTACGATGGGTACTTTAATGCACACGATGTCATTGTAAGTTGCACTTTTCTAATCTGTAGCGCTCACACGTGGCTGCAGCTGCGCTCTGCCCTCCCGCAAATCGCATCAGTGGCACTGAATGTCATCACAAAATTAATTACCTTACAACTTTATTATTGATAACAAGCTGTGATTTAAGTAAAGGTGAGAGAAGAACGTTGCCTGGTTTTGCAAGTTAAAGCAAGGCAGCTTCTTGATCCTACCAAAATGATGTGGGGCAGTTGATTGTTGTAATGAACGATACAACTTAGAGGCTTGGCTCTGATAAACACTTTGAGTGGAAGTCTTCTTATACACTGTAAACAGTTTGGCCCTGTAACTGTATCAGCGTTCTGCTAAGCATTTCCTTGAGGCTGTTACTGCACTGAATAAAACACCTTCTCAACTGATAGATTATTATTATTTTGCAACAAATGAAAGCGGTTCCTTGATGTTAACTACCAAAGGATATGTAGCTGTGATTGTTTTTCTATGCTCCTCATTTTCAACTACTCACCTCAGTGTGTTTTTGTGTAGCTTGGTAACGTTGATTCGGCAGCCGTCAGAGCTGGTCGGCGTCCCCCTTCATCAACATCAGAACAAGTGTGCAGCAGTGGTGAAAAACAAGAGCACACCCACCACGCCTTCTCCACAGTTCACACATCCACTGTTTGCCATGAATGCGTGTTCTGCTGCTGGAACTGCTAATTCCTCACAGGCTCAGGTAGGTCGTATGTTCTCCATTAACTGTACTCTGCAAATGTCAAATGCTAATGATGTTAATCTTCCAGGTGTAGTAGAATTGCGAAGCTTTATGTTAAAGTGTGACTCGGTTTGGATAGACATGAGCAGTACAATTTATAGTTTGTGCATCTGTTAATCTTAAAGTTATCAAAATTATTCAAACTGACTGTTAGTGGTTCAGTCATGCAGTAATGTGCATGAGGTAATGAGCAGTAGCCATTAGATGTAGCAGAAATGCTGAGTCACATCTGGGAGCAGTGATGGAGCACCTGGTGGGAAGGCAGAGCTCAGGTGCATGCAGTGTACCTGAGTGGCTGGAAGGGGTGGAGCCAGGATCCACTCCTTCTCAGACCTCATTTAAGGGCTGGCAGTGGAGGTTGTGTGTATCTTGCTGGAGATCCCTGCATACCTGAGGCCTTCCAAAGGTAAGCAGCTTTATTCCTTTGTTTCTGCATCCATTGATGCTGCACTTCAGCTTATCCTCACTTGCTGCAGCCTGGGACTCTGCCACTCCACTGTCATTGCTGTGTTTTCCATCACATTATAGTGTTATGAGTGTCTTGGAGAAAGATATCTATATGTATGTTCTTTTATTGTATCGCTTATTCCATACAAGAGCAGGAGGAGATGTTTAACAAATAAGATTTTCTATTGTTTGTTTATTTTCTAATTCGTTTTGATGGGAAAAGTGGTGTTTTGTTTTTCTTTTTCCCTGTAACCTCTGAAGCAAAAGAGGTGGTGTGGCACTCAGGAAATGCCAGAAGTGTGTTAAAGTAGAACTAAAATTCAGCAGACTGATAAAATGCCATGGTTGCAGTGTGCAGAAGTAATTGAGATTTATTTTCATACAACGCATTGACTAATGAAGCTGAAATTTAAGATCTTCATACAAAGATAATTAAAATTGTCTTTTTATGTATGTAGTCCTCCTAAATGTTCCGTTTCTGATTTTCACAGGCCTCTGGAACATCTTGTGCTATCTTGGAATCTGCCAAACATCAAGAGATTGGGATTCCCAGAACATTCTCTTTCTGTTACCATCAGGAAATGGAATCCACAAAACAGACAGTAGGTGCTATGAATAAAGCTTTGCCCGAGGAAGTTTGGATTAAAGTTGGAGGTAAACCATCTATCTTTGTTTAGCTTTCTCTGTCCTTCAAATCCTTTGTAATGTGCATATGTTCTACAATGAATATGAGTGCAATGAATCATACTAGGTGTGGTCTTTGAGATACACAGTGGGCAATATGGAAATAGATTAAAGAAAAAAGTTGCCTGTAATTTTAGCTATATTTACAAAGGTGTTTAGCTCTTCTGGCTTGAAGTGAGAAAACCTGAGGCTGTAAAATATCTTTGAAATTCTGGGTCTAGAGTAAGTAACTGGTTTCTTTCTACATTTTTTGACCCGAAAGTTGATATAGCAGATCCAGTTATCAAATTGAAGAACATTTGAAGGACTTCTTCAAATGCTAATTAAAGGTAGGCATGATCTCTGTATGTTCTCTGAGCAAATGGAAGTTAGGTGGATTATGAATCAGCAAGTGGTGCCTTTGGGTTTAGGACACGTAAGAGTCAATCTAGATTGGCCATAAAGCTTCCAGGATTGTTCCACATAAAACAACAACAAATAAATTTTCTCTGCTCAGTATTTTCCATGACCAGTAGGAGGATTATCAATAGGTTCTTTTCCTCTTTGTTTTGCAAAGAAGACAGCTTATGCAAGCAAGCGATAAACAAAAGAAGTTGCAGCCGAATAAGCCCAATGGATGCAAACATAGATCGCAAACCTCTTAGTGAGATACAAAATATGCGAGATAGCCAGAGTACTGCAGCTGCCCAGGGCCCCTGGCAGTCAGCACAGTCACATTCCAGTGTGCAGGTACAGAGTGGTACGCAGGAAGGAGTTACTCAGCGAAGAGAAAGACATAACCGCATGGAGAGAGACAGAAGGTAATTTTTCTATGAGGAGCTGCAATGCAAAGTTTTTTTGAAGCCTAAGATACTGATACTCTAACAGTCCCGTCGTTTTCCAGAGTAGAAGGTAAATTTGATGTATTCTGTTTTACTTGCAAGAAAAAGCAGTGCAGGTGGTGAGGGTGTGGTGTTTATTAGAAGAAAGTGTATGTGCCTCATTGCAGGCTGCTCTAGAAAGATGAGGTGACTAACTCGTATATAACACCACTAATATGCAAACTTATAAGTTTAGACTGTAGGAAATTAAAGACAGTTAGCTTAAAATAAAACAAAAAGCAGTCCCCAGAGGTCATGGCTTGTGTCAGATAAGACCAATTGTCCTTTAAATGTTATTATTATTACTTTTTTCCCTTCTCTTTCATCTTGCTGACCTGTTGAATTTGTTTGTAGGCGCAGAATCCGGATTTGTTGTGATGAACTGAATCTTCTGGTTCCGTTCTGCACTGCTGATACTGATAAAGCAACAACCTTACAGTGGACAACTGCATTTCTGAAGTACATTCAGGAAAAGCACGGTGATTCTCTGAAACAGGTTCAAATCTAATTTCATTTTTGTTCTTGATCAAATAGTGAAACACCTCTAAAGCTGTCATAACATAGCTGAAGTGTATGGAGTGTTTCTTCTGGGTGTTGTTAGTAAAAGACCACTGTGTCACTGAACTATCCTTTATAAAGCTGTTTTATTTGACCAGCTCTCCTTGCAAAATTTCAGTTCAGTAGTATGGTATCGTAGGCTGCCTTCAGTTAGAATTTTCAGATTGGGTTTACTTTTTTTTTAGTTAGTATCATACTCAGGAATGGGGCTGTCTGTAGAATTAGGGCCTTCTTCGGTCATTCCTATTCTTCTCCTTTCTTTTTTCTCTCTTCCCCACTTATTCACAGTGGTGTTTCTAGCTGGCTGCTGTGAGCCAGTGGTCACATGATGGGATTCTGAGCTACATATGTGCCCATGCTCGCTTAAAATGATTGAGTAGTAAAGGGTTGTATGTCCCATAAGCTCCTGCACTACCACAGCCCTACTTGCAGCCCAAGAGCAATTCTGTCTCTTCTAAAAGTATCATAGGAGAACAGATGGAACACGGTCCCTCGGTGCTTATTGTTAAAGGTACATTAATTTTCTTCAAGACATCAGTGAAACAAAAACAGATGTCTCAAGTAAATACCTCCATCAAACTTCGTTTCTTTTTGTATTTTGATTTTTAGGAATTTGAGACTGTGTTCTGTGGCAAAACAGGCAGGAGACTGAAAGTGCCCAGATCGGATTCGTTTGTAACATGTCCAGTTCAGGAGAATGTGCAGCATGGCTATGGAGACCAAGTAGCCTTGAATTGTCTAAGTGTGGATAAATAAGGAATGACCCAAACTGTATTTATCTCTGTTTACGTGCGGGGCTTTGGTTTATTGTGATTAATTTATTTGAGAAGCTCTGGAAGTGACTTGCTAAACTATAACTTGTAAAAACACATAAATAGAGCTTTAAAGAAAACATTCATCATTCAAAATGAAAATGGAAATTGACTGCCAGCAGTATAAATCAGTGTTCTGTTAAAGGGGCTTTGGGACTAGAGAAAACAAGAAAATGCCATGGCAGCTATTAATTATTTTTCTCCTTTTGCTCCTTTTCTGTTTGTGGTTCTGCTTTGGATTTTTTTCCCTTTTTCCTTTAAGGTGATACAGTACAGTTAAGAATTGTTGTAGAAGATCACCCTATCCTGTTACTTTAAGAACTATGTGCAAATATATCCTTTAAGTGTAAAAAAGAAATATAAGGTACTGTATTAAAATGCCCATTTTTCTCATTAAAAGTTTGAAAGTTACATAGGTTAATTGAATAAGTGCATAGTTCCTAAACTGCGCTGCTATGATGGAGTTCGTTTGCTGTACTTTAACATTTTTGACCCCAAAGATTAATACAAAGCTATTAGCATTGTTTTTAGAGTGGTGTATTACTTTAATGCATTTCACATGACTGTCCAACAGTTTCTTGTATTGTTTAGTCCAAAAATGGCATACTGTAAACAGCAGATTTAAATGTACAAACTATCTTAATATTTAAAGACTAATAGGGCTCTATTGTTGATAAGCTTCAGCACTTAGAGCAGAAATAGAATAGGGTCTGAGCTTTATTAATTTCAGTGATAATAGATGATGCCAGCAGGTTTTGAAGTACAGAAAGGTCTCCCAAAGTAAATACTGTTTGAAATCACGGATATTGACAATTTTGCAGCAATTTATTTCCAAACAATCCTAGGAAAAACAGTTTTGGAATATAGAGTTCATTTTCATGTGTATAGTGACATTTATAACATCACAAAGAAAGGTTTAAAAAAAAAATCTCCTTTTATTTTTACAACACTTCATACAAGTCTTTTTTGGCTGAACTTTAGAAGAGCATCCTTTCTTACTTGGGGTTTCTTTCATGATTACTGTGCAAATAGCTTAAGTTGAGGACATGAAAATGCTGTTACTTAACTTCCTTTGTTATCATATGGAAATACAAAAACTCTCCCCTGTAAATTAAAATACATACATCACACCTTTTGCAGAATTTGATTGCAGGAGGCTTAGTAATTACTAGGCTGGGCAAATATTTGAGGTGCAGTCTGAATACTGATAATAGGCAGCATATACCTAAGCTATGGTCTCAGCCCAGAGTGTTAAGGTGTTAAAATACTGGATGCTTAAATGCCTCATTTCCACTGCTGTAAGCAGCAGTTAGGTGCCTGAAACCTGAACAACGTGGATGTTAGTGCACAAACCTGCATGGCTGAAGTCAGTGGGAGCAGCACCGAGGAATTCAACTGACAAAGGCTCAAACATTTATATGGAAAAGCTGCACTAGTACAGCTTGGTGATGATGGTAAAAAGGAACACTTCCTCTTGCAGGTCTCTTCAACATAGGGAGGCAGGGAAGAAGGTGAGGTGATTTAGAAGTAAAAGTTCTGGAAAAGTGTTGGGGAAGGAGGAAAAAAATGCTCATAAAGCATCTTTAGTTACAGTTTTCATCTGATGCTTTCTTTTTCATAGAACTGAATTATTGTGTCAAAGTCTCCACTTAAAATAACAGAAGGAACATCTGTCCATTTATCACTAGGAAGATTGTCTGTTTTCTTACAATGCACTGTTTATTTAAATATTCAGTCACTTCTCCACTTCTTGTACTGTTTTATGACTTTTTGGAAGTCGATGCTCCGACAGCTCCCATGCAAGCTGATGTGTCACATATGCCTGGAGTTCCCTGAGCCCCAACAGCTCCAGGAGTACCAGGATCCCCTGGAAGACCGGGTTCACCCTGAGCACCATCCCGACCATTTTTACTAATTCCAGGTACACCAGGAAGTCCTAAACAAAAAGGGGGAAAAACATTACATGTAACATTTCCTGACTTTCATTGGAAAAAAAAATTATAACTCTCTTAAAGTTCTTAAATACTTTGAGTATCTGTATATCAGACTTGTTACGACTTGTTGAATACAAGATGTTGAATAAATTTACCCTGAGTCTGCAGTATCTGTGTTGGATTTTTTTAGAGTACCTTTGGTTTACTGGAATTACCTGAGTGTAGTTAAAGGTGGGTGTTTAATATTACACTGCATGTTTAATATTGTTACCACATGTGTCTCTTTTAACATTTGCTGCCCACAGCAGAACTGGATTCCACTTTGCTACTATCTTAGTCCATGAGGGACAACAGTTAATTTGTAACCGGATTTATTTTGTAGGGTCCCTGAGTAGTTTGCTGAAGGGATTCTGTGTGAGCCCCTGCCCACCCCTACCTCCTGCTCTCCAGGGCCCTCCTTAGTGGGAGGCAGTGGCATTCAGCTGCTTCAACTCACTGCTCATCCCAAAGTCTGATCATCATTAAGACTCTGAACAGGGGAAGGAAAGTGACAATACAGAACACCTTGTTGACATTAAAGATAAGGAGTTTCCTTTATAATGTGTCTAATTTCACAAGTTTTCTCATGGTGAAATACACGTTTTGTTTATTGGCAGAAACAATTTCAGTTTTCGGCAGGCTTGAGCTGTTCTTTCTTTTATTCTTTTTCTTTCTCATGCCAAAGATAATTCACAAAACTCTAATTCCCATAGAATCATAATAACAAGCTTTTAGAAATATTGTAAAATGAGCTTCTGTCTCCCTGAGGGACAACTGTATCTCTAAACCTGCATTCCTGACTGAGTTATGATACAGAAATGAATGCCTGATCCTTTTTATTTTAGTTAAAATTTGCCTACTGTTGATATCACTCAACCTCATAAATAGAGAAATGCCCTCAATACTTAATAGATGAAAAATATTTTCTAAAGCATGTAAAAAGATGCTATTTATGTATTGATGGAATTATTTTACAGAAGAATGTGAGAGACAATGGCATATAAATATTCTGTTTTTATGAAAGCATGTGAATGCAGAGCCTGGTTTTAGTGCCTGTAACTTATTCAATGTGAAGATGTAATCACAACTAGAAAAGCTGCTTTAATAGGTAAGCAAAATATTCTTTCAGACTTTCTAACAGTGCTTATTAATCTGCAGAAAAGAAATTGAATCCTCTGATAAAATAGGCAGAGCTGTCCTTCTTAGCTTTTACTTTAGTTATGACTCTACATTATTTGCACAGGCTTACCTTGAGGTCCTTGATCACCATCAGGCCCATCAATTCCTTGTCCAGCCGGTCCTTTATCTCCCTTTTCACCAGTGTCACCTTGAATCATAAATAAACAATTTCAGCAATGAGTTGTAAAATCAAAAAGCCTCAGGTCAGTGCTAAGATCTTTGCTTGCACAGCATCCTAAAAGATGCAAGCAAAACCATCCTCCAGAATTCTGTCTGTCCACTGACTGATCTATTCTCTACTGCTGAAATCAGTGCAAGCTGGTCATTTAATTCAATAGGCATAAGATAGGAAGTGCTTGGCTCAGTCTCACCTCTGGGACCAGGATCACCAAGCTCTCCTGTTGGCCCTCTGTACCCAGGGGGACCACGAGCACCAGGATGGCCAACGCTCCCAGTGGCTCCTGGAGGACCTGGTGGACCAGCAGGGCCAGGGCGCCCCGTCATCCCAGGAGATAAAGGCTTTCTCAGATTAGCAGCTAACTGTGCAATTTGATCTGAAAAACAAAAACAGAATAACAGCACCTACATTAAAAACTGCACATCTAACATTTTCACTCTTTGCCATCTGGTCAGAAACCTGCTGGCACCTTATGCCATTTTCTGTTTCCTAAACCATTTTGAAACATGGCAAGGATTCTGGAAAATGATAATTAAAAACCAGCAATGCTGCACATAATGTCTCTAGAGGCAAAGCAGTGACATCAAGGAAAGAAAGACACTTGCTGGGAGGTGGCACCTGTTTGGAGTCCTGCTTTGAGGACTGGGATGTGCCACGATGGGGAAAGGAGAGCGAGGAGCTGAGGTTCTGAATGACACAGGTAAGGGGATATCAGAGCTTCTGCCAGCATGTTTTGTGTGTTGCTCCAGTGAATCATTTAAAAATACTAAATTCAAGAAAATGAAAGATATCCCAAACAAGTATTTCCTGAAGAGTTCCATTAACAGCCAATGTATTTTTCCTACTTAAAATAAAAAAGAACAAATCTCAATAGACATCTCATGTTCAAGATCTCATCTTCAGCCAAATACAGTAACTGAAATTTGCTTTCTCCCAGCAAAACTCACCGTTTATCATTTCCCCACAGAGTTCTCTTATATGTTGTTCACTGGCCTCTTTGCCCTGCAATTAACAGAGAATTCCTGCTTTATACAAACCACATTATTGATAATAATCACTGACAGATACGTCATGACTTGAAACTCACTTCCAGCATGAAAATGAGATTTTTTCCCCCCTCTTCAGAAGATGACAGCTTCAATTTAGAAGCTGTCTCACAATATAAATGGCAGAGATTAACATTAGCATTTCAGAGCAGCTATTGAATCTGGGCCTTGCCAAAGTGCCAGAATGTGACCTGGACCAAGGTAGAGTTCTGACATCTGGAGCACTGAGTAGGGGCTGTATTTTTAAATGACAAGTTTCTAACTCACTTTTGTAATGACAACAGCATCTTACAGCCCATTCCAATGGACAAATAATCTGTATGTCAATGAGATTCATTCTCCAAGGTAAACATCTGGGGCGTTTGCAACTCTGAAGCCTGCAAACCTCTGATCTTTTTCCACTGCAAAACTCCTGATGCAAGACTGCTAGCTTGCCTGCCCAGTTACTTTTGACTGCTCAAATGCAGGATGCCACCTTCTTTTCTGGACATGCATCCAAAACCTGCAATCCTTCCATACAGTGCAGTGAACAAATGCACCACAGAAGCAGACAATACTCACAGGAGGCCCCGGTTTGCCTGTGATG